CTTGCTTCCCCTCCCGCGAGGGCGGAGGGGGCCCCTGGCCTTCCTCCGATGCTCTCTTCCTCCTCCTCCTCTTCCGTGCGCTGCCGTCCCTTCGCCCCCCACTGCAAAAAAACATTAACCAGCACCAAGGGTGTGTGGAGCCAGCCCAGGCGACTGAGAAATAGGGACTTACCTCCCTCTTAGTCCTTTTTGTTGCTCTGCTGCTTCTTGACAAAGAAAAGTCAGGCAGAATGGAGAAATTTGAAACAGAGAGGAAAATGCTGCTTTTCTACTGTCTCGGTGCCTGGCAGGGAACAAACAGCCCAGCTGGGGCCAGCGGGGACTTACAGCCTCCCGGGCTCGCTCGGCACTGGCTGGGGCTGTCAGTTGGATGCCAGAGAGCAAACACGGCAAGGAAAGGCACCATCTGACCCTCCTGCCTCAGTTCCCAGCCGCTGCATTTGAAAAGGAAAATTAAAATAAATTTACGCATTTTCTAAGCCAGACCCGATGGCTCAAAGCGAAGGTGGGAACACCAAAAAAAATTTAATTTAGGAGGAGTGGAAAAAAAAGTTTGATTTAGATCTCCCAAGCCGAAGGTTTATTGTTCCTCCTGCCCAGGACTCGCCACTCGAATTTGGGCCTGTTTGGGCAGGACACACAGGCAACACGGGCTCTTTGAAGGTGGCTTTGAAGGGCCTGGTTTGTATATCTCTGAGAAGCAGAGGTCGGGGTGGAGCTGGGTTTGGGATTGCGGTCCAAGCAGTATCGTGGTCTGTGCAGTGTCCCCTGGGCAGCATCACCCACCCATGGAGCCCCGAGCAGCCCAGGGGTGGTGTTTTGGGGGTTTTTTGCATTTCATAACCCTGTGACCCTGGGAAGTGCTCCCCTACTGCACCCCACTGCACACCTCTGCTATTGCACGGGGAACATACCGTGGTAGCCAGCCTGCACCCCAGCTCCCCCAGTTTGGGAAGACTTTGGAGAGTTGCTTGTTGACTTGTTCCCGTATTAGCCCCTGTCTCAGGCAGCATGTCTTCCAAAGATAAAATCAGCTTTTAAGTTTTAAAGAGAGCGCCCCAATTCCTCCAGACTCCTCCGTGGACTTGCTCAAATTAACCAAAGAGATGCAAACAAGCCTGAACTCCTGTTTGTGGCGGGGTGTTTCCATTTGACAGGCCAGAATAATTTCATCAGCATGTGCTAATTACAAATACGACCTTTGGGTCAGACCAGACCTAAAACAATACAAAAACCCAAATATGCATTTAAGAGACCAAATGCTCACCAAGCTCAGGACAGACAGGAGAGAAAGCAGCAGCGACTTCAATCCCTCCAAGCCTAATGCAGCTCCAGAGCAGAAATGAGGGTATTTTTATTGATGGTCAGTTTGGTCATTTCCCTTTAATTCTTAGATTAATTATAAAATGAAGGAGCACAGCAGCTTGCATGCACCAGCTGGAGTTTTCCAGGTCACAGAAAACATCGTGGCTAATGCAGGAATGAACAAGCCAGGCGTGCTGCAAAGCTGCAGCTGATTGCTCTGTGGATAAGGATGCAAGTGTGTGCCATTGCCACCGCCGCTGGACTCTGCACAGGCCCTGCACCGCAGTCTGAATTTGGTCTTGGGAAAGCATTACCAGTATGTGACCCCAAAATGAAAGCAGGATCGTTTCTGCACAGTCCTGCTGGGCAGTGCTGATATTGGCCACCCCCTGCCTCAGTTTCCCCATCCTGACCACACAGCAGTTTGGACCCTTGTTTTTGAATCTACCGAGCTCAGGTTGCCCAGAGGGGTTGTGGAGTCTCCTTCTCTGCAGACATTCAAAACCCGCCTGGATGTGTTCCTGTGTGACCTAGCCTAGGTGATCCTGCTCTGGCAGGGGGGGTGGACTGGATGAGCTTTCGAGGTCCCTTCCAACTCCTAATATTCTGTGTGTGATTGTGTGTGTGTGAGCTGGGCAGTACGAATGCTTGCACCCAAGCGCTTGCACCCAGTCGAGGTGGCAGAGGGAGGTGGCCACATCCTGGCCAGCCACAGGACACCAGGGCTGTGGGGCGTGCCCAAAGCCAGCCACAGGGACACTGCAGAGCCACTGTCACACTGCAGCCTGGAGCAGGACCTGCTGTTAGCAGAGGGCAGCCAGCAAATGTAACCACCCCCAGCACCGTGTTTGCTCAGAGCAGAAGCTGCGCCCTGGCGAGCCCAGCTAAAGGAGGAGATTATGTCAGCAGCTGCTATTGCTGGGGGAGGAAAGAATAATAAATAAATAAAAAGAAAACTTGTGTCTGGTGCGTCCCCCCTCCCGGGGCAGGCCAGGGTCTGCACAGGGCTGGAGCCAGCTGCACTGGCCATGGCTGGAGATTTATACTCCTGTTAATGCCCCGGGAAGGCAGCTCCTGGTCTGGTTACAGCACCTGGCCAGGGCTGGGCACGCCGAATAAATGCCCCATTTATCCCCCAAGCTGCCAGACCTCGCATTCGGTGCAACCCCCTGGGTTGCTTTGGACATGGGGTTGAGCAAAGCCGGCTGTCGAGGCACCCACCTGGCCAAGGCTGCAACCACCCCTAGGGTTGGATGTCACCTGCTGCCACCCAGGAGCCAGCCCTTGGGGGGGCAGGGACATCCCCAGAGCAGGACCTTGCATGGAAGCAGGTTTTTGCATTTACCTGCTCTTGCAGCCATCAGCTGGTTGCAGCTCCAGTGCAGCATTTGCGATGCCTGACCCGACTGGGTCCAGGACGATGCTCATTGCTGGCAGGATTGCACCTGGGTACCAAAACCTGGTATTTCATATGCAGTGCAGGTCAGAGAGCTTCCCCTGGACTGAAATGCCATTATAAGGAGCAGATTTATCCCATACAGGTGCTGTCACCTTGACAGAAGCTAAATACCTGCCTAGGCAGTATCTTTCTAAATCGGTATCCGAACGTTGGTGCCCAGCTCATGTCCTGCTTCTCTGAGTAAAACACCTCTGCTCATTGCTACAGCCCCTTTCTGCTGACCCTGGGAAAGCTGAAGCAAGAAGGAGAAAGCACTAGGAACTCCAAGAGGAGAAAAAAATTTAGTATTATTAATGAAATGACGTGGCAGTTCACAGTGGCATCTCATGTCCCTGATCTGGGGTGAAACCTGCAGCAAAGCCTCAGGTATTTCATAAGAAACTGTGCAATTTCTTTGATTGCTCTGCAAAATGCTGCTGTGTGCAGGGCTGAGCGGGATTCAGGAATATGATACTGGGGAGTGACTAAAAGCCATGGAAAATTGTGCTCCTTCTCTCATCCCCCAGCGATTCAGAGTCCCAGGAAAGCCCGAGAGGCAGCTGCTCCCAAAACATGGAGAAGGAACTCGACAGGCGAGCGGTCGGCTCCGATGGTGCCTCGTCACAAAGAGCCACGTGTGGCACTGCAGGAAGGATCTCCTCTGTGTTTTGGGAGGGAACCAACACTTACAGTTCATGGCAGGAATGGGAAAGGGTCCCTGGACCAGCCAAGTCACCCTCTGGCCCCAGTGTGGCCACGGGGGCTGTAGGGCCAAGAAATCAAATGTGGGCCTGAGCCCTCCTGCACAGTAAAAACCATGGCTGGAAAAAAAACCTATCAGCAAAATTACACTTTATTTTTTTCGTTGTGGAATTTACTTTCATGTATTGTAACTTAAAAAGGTCTGGAAAAACCACATGCAAGAGGGTTTCTATGTAGCAGCTAAAGTTTCTATTCCAGCATTACAAGCTATTCCAAATGATTTCCAAATTCCCAGCTATAAACTATTCAATAAACAAACAATTTTATCTTTAAACTCCCTCCACCCTACCCCCTTTAGTGCAGTGCAAAGGAAAAACCCAAGGAATTTACATATTATTTTCCAACGTATCCCATTGCGATTTTGAATGATCTGCGATGAACTAAAATATATATACAATTTTCTCACCATCATAAAAAAAACAACATTACCCTTTCTTATTCACAGATATATATTGTGGCAAATGGCTGAATAATTACTTACAAACAAAACAATCTTTTTTTAACAAGTTTCTTACAACAGTAAACACAAGAGGGGGAGCTCTCTTTGGGGGAAAAGGAATTTGGCAGGGCTGGGAGGGGAGTGGAGCACAGGGATGCCTTTGGGGCATGAGGGTGCCATGGTCCCCATGACAGACATGAGCTTTTGCACAGGCGATGCCCTTGCTGCCTTACGAAATGGGCTGTGTTCGACAGGAGGAGCGCATAAGGCTTTAGGATCCGAGAGGTTTTAGGTCTCGGGTGCGTGTGTGCATGCATCTCATCCCCCCAAATAACACCCCCAGCACAGCTACAGGGAGCAGAGCACCTGGGTGCACCCTCAGGCGAGCAGCCACAGTGGAGAGCACCCAACAGTACCTTGGGACAACCCAGAGCCACCTCTGCGTCCCTGTCACCTTGTAGAGCAAGACCCCCATGGGGATCTGCCCTGGCCAGACCCCAGCTGCACCTTCCCCACTGCCACCCAGCACCAAGAGCAGGGGCACCTGTGGAGCTTCAGGAGGAATGGGCAGCTCTGGGTGCATCACTGAGCACCATCATTTAATTTCAGAGTTTCTCTCTTTCCATTTTCTTTGAATGCCCCAGACTCTTCCATTTATGACCTTGAGCAGGGTACTGCTGCTCCATTTGCAGCAAGGATTCGAATGCAGCCATGGTACCCCTGTGACAGGGACCGAGGGCATCAGCACCGCTCACTCACCCATCGCTGGCATCTTCCAGACCTGCGCCAGCGCGATGCCAAGAGCCTGCACCAGGAACACGGCATCCCACGGCCAGACCACCCCAGATCCCAGAGGAACAATGTCAGGGCATGGAAGCACCACCTTAAAATGCAAAGTTGTTCCCTGTCACACACCCACACGTGTATTTGTTCATATTTGCACTTTGGAAGGAAATTTTGGAGCTGGAGAGCAAAGCACCACCCTGCAGCTTTGCCTACCAACCATGTGGGCTGCACTTTGGGAAGAACAGAGTGGGACAGACGGTGCTCAGGACACAGCGGCAATACCGGGACAGACGGACCTTTACTTGACAGCAGCAGCAGTAACAGCCTGTGAGAGGAGGAAAGGGGGCAACACTCACAGCCCCCAAAAGTGCATACAGCTGGGGAAGAAGAGATGCTTTCACAACTTGGGGAGAGAAATCAGGAGGTGTTACCATAGCCCTTACTCAGGTGGGTTTGTGAGGTGGGACGTGTCACGGCTGGAAGAAAAATCAGCCTGGCTCGGCGGGGAGATCCTGCCCACAAGCAGGACCAAGGTGTGAGCAAGTGCAGGACAGACCCACGGACACATGCTACTGTCCACTCCTCTGGGTGTACCTGGTGCCTTGGTGGCCTCCAAAACCCTTTTGGGGCAAAGCGCATCTCCAGTTCTGCAAAGCACCGAGACCTCCTGCTCATCAGTGGGACCAGTCAGCACCCTGGGCTGCTCCCTCTGCCCACAGCAAGGCTGGTGGGACTCAAGGTGGTCGTAAAGAAAACAGACTTTCTTTCCCTCCTGTCTGACCTGGAGGTCCACTTTCAGTCTAGGTCTGATGGTCAAAACATGCTCCTGGTTTCACAGTGGGCATCCATCCTTCAGAGATGAGCAACAGCCACTTCCTTCTCCTGGGTTGGGTGTCCCCCCTCTGCCCCCTCACCCGAGATGCTGCCAAGGTGACTCCCAAAATCCTGACCCAGAGAGCCTACCCAGCGGCGTGGCAAGGGGTCCGTGTCATCTCCTTGGAGCTGAGTCGCTCCCTCCCCTTAGAAACCCCCAAATCCTCACCTTGGCACACCCAGGCACCAGCCCAGGTGCAAACCTTCAGCCTTACCCTCCCACCACCATCACCAGGGTGGCTTTTAAAACACCTTTAAGTAAAAGAGGTTGGGACCCCATCCTCTGGCGCACGCTGCACAGAGTCTCTCAGCTCTGTCCATGCAGGCGAGCATGGTTTTCCTGGGACTTTTCCGCAGCTGCTACACGGACGTTATCCGACAGACCATCAATCTTCTATACAGGGGACAGGGGCGAGGACAGTGGTGGCCCCGACACACGCACACTGTACAGAGGAACGGATTGCTAAAGAGTCAGCAGGAGCGGTCCCAGGAGGCATCAAGTGTGCATGGTCCGCAGCAGCTCGCTCTGGGCGCTCGACGACCTTTCCATCAGACATCCGTGCAGTCACTGCACCCCCTCCTCTTCCACGTATGTCGAGGGAAACCAGCCGACCTGTCGGGAAGCGCAGAGGTGAGCTGGAGACCGGGGAGCTCAAGTGACCTCCTGTCCTGTCACCAGACACCCCACCACCATGTGCTGTCCCCAGTGGGCCATCCCAGTGCTGAATGAGTCCACATCCCCGTGCATGGTGGTCATAGGGAGGTGGTACTGCCACTACCGTAATCTGGGACAGAGCTAGCAACTATACACTGCCTTGGACATGTTGTCTGCAATAAAAAAGGGAGCAGGACATGAACAATCTGTCCCCAGTGCTACAAACTCCATGGGACACCAGGTCAACCCGTCAGCCTGCTGCTTTTCCCTGGGATGCTGAGGCTTTTGCCTGCAGAGCCACTCCTGCATAAATCCCCAGTGTGCAGGTTTAACGAAGAGCAGACTGGGACATGGCCCAATTCTGCCCATGGCACACTCCCACCTGCTTGCACACACGGGGCATCACATGTCATTGTCACCCAGCACCGACTGGTGACACAGCGGTGGCTCTCCTGAGATGACGGCACATCCACGAGCTGGAAAAAAGTAAGAGGGCTCCTTGTCCTGACAGCAGGCTGTGCTCCAGCTGGGCAGGGTGAGAGCGGGGAGGACCAGACGCCGCAGAAACAAGACATTATCCAGCTGCACTTACTCTCCCGTTGGTTTCCCCCTTCCACCAGCCCTGGTCCCCGCCGATCCTGCTGTAGATCTTCACCACGTCGCCCTCTCGCAGCGACAGCTCCCGCATGTCCCGCGCTGCGAAGTTGTACCGTGCCACCGCCGTCCCTACGACCCGGGGGGTGAACACTGCGAGGGGACAAAAGCAGAAGGGGTCGGGAGCCGCCCCTCAGCATGGGATCGGCCGAAGCCTGGGGAAAGCTTGGCGAGGTTCAACCTGGGTTTTCCACCACAGCGCTGGTTCCCATTGCAATGCCACGACCCGGATCAGCTCGGATGTTGGGGGTGGTCTCATTTGAATTGCTTAGCCCTGCATTAACTGGGGTGTTTAGGGGGTAAACTGGGTTCCTGCTGGGTTTTAAACAGCTTGGTGGGCTTGGGAAGGCTCTCTCTGCTGACGGGGGCTAGGAGGGGCTTGCTGGGGATGGCTGGGGTGAGGGGCAGCTCTGTGAGAAGGTGGTAAAGATTTCATAGGAATACACTGTCATTAACAATGAAATCAGGAAAAATCCTGTTTCACTATCAACACCAGGTCTGGCTGCTGCACAGGTGATAGCATCACCCTTTCGAAAGAAGATTTGACAAACCAGCTTGTATTTAAACTACATAAAAGTGAGTTACTGGAACTGAGTTTTTGTAGCGATGCTGAGCAAAACCTGTAGGCTTTGCCTTGAGGAGGAACTAAAGCTGCACACCCGGCATCCTCCCTGCTCCTGTCTGCCAGGGCCCTGGGAAACTTGGTTCCATAACAGACCAAAATGTGCAGAAGCACCCTGCAAACCCTAACGCTGGCCAACAGCTTGTGATGTCCCAGGGATCTCCATCGCTTCAGGCAAGGCGTGCCGGGGGGAGGCAGAAGGGAAGCGGGGGGTCCTTTGCACGGAGGAGCAGCAGGGTGAGGTGGGGGAAGACACCTGGTGTCTGGCCAGGAGGAATGGGGGCTGGAGAGCAACAGCAGGAGCGATGGGATGGGCACAGGAGGAGAAAAATGCACCTTCTCTGAAGTTTGCAAAAAAGAAGAGAAAAACAATTTTAAAATCCCACTCTGAAGGGACACTGTGTTTTGATGAAGCTGCCCCTTTTGTCCCAGGACTTCCGAGGATTAGTTTAAATTTTAAAAGTTTGCAAACCAAGGTTGAACTAAAGTTTGAGGAAAAGCTTTGCCCAGGTGTTCAGCGCCCGGGATGGATGGAGATGAGGATGGCGATGGAGACGGTCCAGACACACAACGTGCAATCAGTGGAGGGCTCGTCTGCCCTCGCCAGGCTGAGCGAGGATCACGGTAGCTTTGAACCCTGTCATCAGGAGATTGCTCAGAGCGTGATGCTGCACAAATTACTGTTTGCAATACTTTTTATGCAGTTAAAGGACCCCAAATTCCCTGAATTATCTTCTAATACCCTGGAAAGTTAAGCATTCTTCCCAAACACGGCACCAAGGAAAGCATACGTGGCTTAGCCAATGATTTTCACAGTCCAGTTTAAAGAAAATACTAAAAGGTAAAAGCTCAAACGGGAAGAAATTAACTGGCACATTTTTGCTCCGATTCCTGCCAAACAGGGAAGAAGACACCAGTCTGTAACGCATTTAAATCAATGAGGTTCAAAGGCCGGAGCACACTGCATTCTCTGCAGGGAGCCTGAGCCAGAAAACACATTTTACAGCACAGATTCCCCCTGACTTCCTCAGCAAGGGGCTCCTGAGCAGCCTCAGATACCAGAGCTCAAAAATTGCCGGACATGGGAGATGTGCTCCTTGCATAGCAAGGAGAACCGGTCTGGAGACGGTGCGATGCCAATGCTCGTTCAGCGAAACACATGGGAAAGTGGGTCGAGCTTGAAGTACATCATGAGATCCCACTGCACTAAATTAACTTTTTCAATAATTTTAGCCCCCTTTCTCAATTAGTGACACCTCCACCTCCTCCCTGCCTTGATTTTGGGGAGATGGGGGAGTGAGTTTTGCTTCCATGGTTAATTCTTTCCAGGCTGTGCCCTAGGGCAGCACCAGGGATCCTCTGAACTGCCTGCAGGTGATGGGGGGACAGTGAGGACCCCTGCAGGTCCCACGGGTGATGGCTTTCAAGCTGGGGATGCTGCAGCCTGGGGAAGGCAGCAGGACAGGGCACTGGTACCTGACCAGAAGGGACTGGAGGAGCTCTGAGAAGAAAAGTTGAGGCCCTGAGGACTGAGAAAAGAAAAGTTGTAGGAAGCGCAGGAGGCTGCAAAGAGGTTAGAGAGAAACAAAAAGAGGCAGAACACGCATTAAAAAGGAAATTAAAAAAAATATTATAAGGCACAATGCTTTAAAGCCGATGGAGAAACACAAGGCAAAGCACACGGAAGGTCTTGCGCAGGGGCTTGGAGCTGGGACAACCAGTGACAGGTCTGCCCACAGCCCCACAGCCAGTGCAGGAGCTCGAAAGTCATCCCAGGCTTGTAGTTTCTTGGAGAAGATATTTAATCAACTTTAAAAAACGATCTTCCTTTGGTATTCTTTTTAAAATATACCAGGAAAAAAAGTTTTTTAAAATGCATTTTTCCCCACTAAGTAGTTATTTCTGCACTCAGGCTTTTAGGCAAAAAGGAACATTTTGCATTAATGTGCATTTTGCTTTGCATTTGTTTCAAATCTTTTCTTTTTCTTGATTTTTTTTTTTTTTAATTTTAGGCGCAGACTTACCATTTCTCCCATCAAGTTCATCAAAGGAGTCCCACTGGGACACAAACCACCACAAGTCACACTGGAGCTGGATCCATTAAAACCCATTCACAATAACTCATGTGGGCAGTTAAGACACACTGTACCCCCAGCACATCTCCGCTCTGGGAGACATCTCCAACGGGGAAACCAGTCTGCCCCAGGAAAAGCTCTCCCTGGGAGGCTGCACCCCCACCATGGAGCTGCATGAGCAGTGCCAGGGAGCCCCAGCTCAGCTGGATCCCCTGACCTCTGCCACCTCCTGGAAGACCCGTCCTCAAAATGCCACCAGCCGAACAGGACACTTGTTCATAAACCAGGGGACTCAAGGCCTAACCAAAGCCATAAATCCCTTTGCTCAGATGATGCCCCTGCACCTTGCCGAGAGATTTCCCATCGCACGTTTGATGGGAAACAGCTGAGCTGGGTTCTACCTGGAGAGCGGGTGAAGGTCCTGGAGGTAGAGCGCTCCCGAGATTTATAGGGGTATTTCAGTGTCGTGTCCAGCTGCTTGAAGCTCTCCTTCAGCGAGTGGCTCTGGTAGTACTCGACCAGCTCCTGGGAAGGATGGAGAAGCACATGGCATTCTCTGCCCTCCTCTGTGTGACTTGCAGGGATGCTGTGCACATTCAAAGGGGCTACACAGACCTACCAGCAAGCTTTCAAACTTCTTGGCTTCTGTGATGTGAATCCAGTTGTCCTTCTCCACCACCTTGATGTGCTTCACCTCTTCGTTGAACCTGCAAACGGGAGCAGAGGCACTCAAGAAAACATAGCCATGTGCCCCAGCGCCGTCTCACCCTCCACATGTAATAATAAATTACTAAATTAAGTTTTTCTCACTTAATACTGATGGCAAAGCGCTCGGCCTCGGCCGGCCGCTCCCGGATCAGGTAGGTGCCACTGACATGAGACTTGAGCAGGTTGTCTGTCTGCTGCCGCTCCATGTTCCCTGCAAACCTGAGCCCAGCAGTTAATTAATTGATTTAATTAATTACAGATTAATGCATATCTTTTAAATAGGCATGCTTTAGACAAAAAGGTCTATCTTTTTTTAAAGGCATGAAGACTGGGCAAGTAGAGAAACAGGTCTCATCCAAAACTTCATGAGCAAAGAGGAAAGTGCCCTGAAATCTACAAGAAGCTGTTCAGAGAACAGAGAGGGTGAGCGATGCAGAGTGCAACCTCTGCCCTCTGAAGCATCTTACACCTAGAAAACCCCACTGATTGGAAATTGGTCCCTCCCACTAATTGGGAATCAGTCTCCAGGTAAATGAGGCTTCAGTGAGAGCTGGGAAGTGGGGATAATTTAGACACTTGAATTTGCAAACCCAGCTGGAGCTAGAGGGAAGGAGCAGGAGGTAAGGCAAACGTAGCCTCTCCCACCAAGGGAGGAATTGGTTCCTTCCTCCCAAAACAGTTTTCTGGGCACAGAAAATGGGAAGAGAAACCAGCACCTCTCCTTTTGCCTCTGACCCTCTCCATCAATGAAGAAATCCCCTCCGATGCTGCGAGGGCTGCCCCAGCTTCCAACACCCAAATGCAGCTGTGGCAGATGCCCCGCGGCTGTGGGGGTGGTGAGATGCAAAGTGCTGATAATGTCCATTCCTGATTCATTATTGGAGCAGATTTCTGACAAAGTAACAACTAAAAGGCAAGGTTTGATCAATCTTTCTGGCACAGGCAACTCACCATGGGTACGCCGTGTAGTCAATCTCCCGCGAGGGCGGCCGGCTGTTGGGAGGCTGCAAAGAGAGCGTTGCTGTTACTGAGGAGCCAGCATCGCACCAGGCTGTAGATCGTCACCGAGATGCTCCTCTCCACAGGAGGGTTTTTGGCTGCCAAGCCCTTTCTGAATTATTGGCTTTGGCAGCGGAGGGCAGTGTTGCAGCTGAGCATTTCTCTCCCAGTTGTGATGAGCATGCTGTGTTTTTTTCATTTACCTGAGCATTTTTTAACTGGGAAGTGGCTGACAGCATTGCAAAACTTATTAAAAAAAACAAAAGTGAAGTTTTCCTGTACTGTGACTGATCTGAAGTGCTCTGCTCCCCTGTCAGGCCCACAGAGGAGGACTGGGGTCTAGATCTGGTCACACCAATCCCAACCTTGGGAATGCGGCTGAGACCAACATGACCAGTCATTTGCAACCATGGGATGATGGATCCACCTCCTCATTAATTTGCCTACAGTAAAAGGCTTCATTTGAGGTCCATGGACTTACTAGAAGGACCAAAGTCTCAAGCAGAAGGCTGAGAAGAGCAACAGGCACTGCCAAAGCAGCACCTCCCACAACAGTCTCCAGCGCCCAACCCCGCGCTCCTTGCTCCATCTCCTCTCTTTGGCACTTACCCTTGCATCAACTGGGCAGGGCTTTACCGACGAGCTGGGAAAATAACCCGACTTCTTTGTCTGCAGCAGCCGCCCCTGCAAAGCCAGAGGGGTATAGGATTGGGACGCACATCGGGGAGCACTGTTTTTGCCATGCAGGGATGGGGACGGTCCCTGCTGCAGCTCCCAGGCTCCACAAATAAAAGGGATGATGAAGAACGCAATGGTTTAAAACTTCCTGGAAATTTCCTGAGGGGAATCACTCTTACCTCCCACCATGGTGAGTCGGGGTCCCCCCTCAGCAGCTCAATCACATCCCCAATTTGAAATGTCAGCACCGGCTTCCCAGGAGGGGCTGGGTTTCCATGGTAATTCTGAACCGCCACCATTTTAGGACCTGGAACAGATGCAAACCAGTTTCAGCACCTTGACCCAGTTAAGAAACCACAAAACAAAAACATCTACCCCCCAGAAAAAGTCTGTTGTTCCTTGTCATGTGAACCACAAATCGAACAGCACCAGCAGGCAGGATTTGGGGGCAGAAAGCATGAAAGCAGAAAGGAGCCGTGTCCATAGAGAACTCCTGCAGTTACACGGATCCCTGAGTTCACTGAGCAAAAATAAACCTGCAAGGGAGCGAGCCAAGCCACAGCTCCTGCTCCCAGCCCTGTACACCTGGACTTGAAACTCGCTCTGGCAGCCTGGCTCTGGTTAGGCTGACAATTGCAGCTGGACCTGGGACCCAAACGCCCCCGAGGCTCGCAGCCAAAGTCCAGCTGTCTCACAAACAACTTCAATAAGTTTCCCTCGACTGCACCATAACCACAGTGTTTAACTTCAAAATGGCTCCCCACCTCTGCCTCTCCCTGCCCAGCGAGAGCACTCTGCGCTTTCTTTTTTTAACCACCGATTCGATTCAGGTTTCTTTCTGCCAGGCTTGGCTTTCTTTTCATCAGAAAAAGCACAAAAGCAAATTGTTTGTTCACATTCAAGCTAGAACATGGGCAGGGCAGGCCCAGCACTCTGTCTAGGCTAGTTTTAAGCAAAGGAAAAATAAAAAATATTGTGGTAACCATCGTGACTAATGGCCCCATTGGAGGGCAGCACCTGGAGCCAGGCATTCTTTTTTTTTTCCTGCAGCACACCAGAGGGACGTTCCCTGTCATCAATGAGCCTCCCTCCCCTGTTTGGCCTACTTTGAAGGATGATTTGGCACAGGGAAAGTCTCCAGTCTCTCCTTGGTGTGACGTGGTGCAGCTTTACCCACCCAGCAGAGCAGGGCAGGGGCAGAAATGCACCCAAAAAACCCCCATGGTGATGGTGGCTGTGGGCAGAGCCCAGGGAGGAGCTGGGTCTTCCCACAGGAGGAACCGCAGAGCCCCATTGCTTGCTGTGAGAGTGGCACAGGACCCTTCTGCAGTTCCTAATGCTCCTTTCTAGGTTTGGAAGGAGCTTCCCTCTCCCACGTGCTCAATGTTAGGGATACCCGCAGCCACAATGAAGACACTGTATCTACTTGCCCTCCTGCAATACAGTGATGTCCTTACCAGGTCCAGCACTCAAATCCTGCGAAGAGAGATGAAAAAGCCTTTGTCAGGACACGGTGGTCTCGGCTTTCTCCATGGGCACACAACTGAAGCCACTGGGATGGAAAAACCCTCTCCCAAAACCGCCCTGGTACCTCCCAGCCCGTGATGCTCGACCCAGCTGCGTGCTGGCATCTTCCAAGGGCCATGGTGATGCCCAAACCAGGCAGTTTTAGGCTGGAGGAGAGGCCACCAGACTCCAGTCCTGCCCCCCACGTCACTGGGACCTCACTGAGGCCAGTGCCTGCCCTTCCCATGCCATGCCCAAACCTGGACCAGGCAAGGATACAGGATCTGCCCAAGGCAAAGGGGGAAAAGGGCCATCAAACAACGTACCTGGTCTGCTGAAGAACCTGCAAGAGAAATGGTGAAACGATTGGTGAATTTAACAGGCAACAAACCCCGTTTTCAGTTTCTCTTGATGCTGTATCAATAAAATGGCATGAGTGCTTGAAATTAATGGAGGAAGCACAAAGCAGAGGCTGGGGTCACTCAGTTAATCACTGCACCAGGTGGGCAAGACCCAAGGAAGGACAGGAGCTGGACAAAGGACATTTTCTCAGACATATATGGGATGCAGCTCTTGGTTTGGGGGGATTTTGTTTGTATTTTTGTTTTTTAAACCACCAGCCATCATGAATTACAACTCCAGGAGGTGGGTGGTAGCATACTCAGATTTTTCTATGTATAAACAAACATCAGTGCTTTATAGAGCGAATATTCCAGATCATTCCCATGCATTCACCTCCTTGGCACAAGCTGCTCGTGATGTGAAGTAACTCACCGATCTTGCAGGGAGGAATGATCTCCAAGCACTCCTTATGAGCACCCGCTCCACATTTGGGGCAAAGATATCCCTGGTAGAAGGTTCCTCTGTGCAAAAAAGAAGTCAGAAAGTCCTAATTCGGCCTTAGCTTGGAGATTTTCTTTCCATGTTTTAATGCGGATGCAGAAAAGCTGGAAGGATGTCACTCACCTCAGGAACATCCTGCAGGCTTTGCAGTTGGTTGTCTTTTCAAATGTGTACATCTGGAAGTTATGGTGATTTGCATTGGCTTTCTCTGGCTTTATGTTGGACCTGAGGGAAAGGACCGGGGGTTATCAACCTGTCCCTGCAAGTCATGCCACACTCGTGACTTGTCACAGCGGCCGCTGTTTGCATTTCAGCCCAAGTTTGGAAATCACAGGGGCAGACATCAAATCAAGTGTGAAAGCAGACTCAGGGCTTGACGCTGCAGAGAGAGGATTTTGCCCATCGACCTTCCCCTGGGACAACACCCATGGATTTGGCCTTTGCCTGAGTCAATCAACAGCCCAGCCCTGCCAGTGCTGGGCCGTGTCCTGCTCTGCTCAGGACCATCTCCCCGCAGCAGCATCCTTCTTCCTGCAACGTCTTCCTCCAGCCCCAGCTCGATGCTTCATGCATGGCAAGGTGTCATTTCAGGGATGCACCACCCATGCCATGGTGCAGATGCTCAGGGGAGATGATTTCAAGCTGGACCCAAGCTCCCTTTGCAAAGGGACCCACCCAGCAAGCCCACGTGAGCATCCCCATTGCTGGCCACCAGTGACCTCCTGGTTCAAGACACTGTTCCCCCCCGCTTGGTAACTGCATGCCAGGGCTAGAGCAGCCACTCGTGCTCACATTGCCATTTCAAACTGCTCCATCCACTTCCTCTTCATTTCCTCCGTCTTGCAGAAAAACTGGAAGCCCTGTTTCCCCTGAAGGTGGATTAGGTAGAAGCCGTATGACCACTGCAAGAGAAAATGGGGGAGATAATGGGACTGCTGTTCTCCCAGCACCTGCGCACCAAAATGCACTTTTATTTGGGGATCTTAATAACTGCTCTCAGTGCCTGCCCCTGTTCCTTGCTGAACCTTCGCAAAGGTAACAGCAGGGAGGGAGGAAGGAGAGCGCCGCGTTTCTCTAACATATCAACACTAATGATGCCTGAATCAGCTTGGCACCATGCGCTAAGGCCAGACAGGATTTTATGGTGGCAGATGAACGAAGTCAGATTTTTCTGCTTCAGTAGATCCTCCCCAGCCATTATATCTCTCCCTGACAGCAACTGACAGCCCAGGAAGAACATCTGACCTGCCCACTGCACATATGCTCTGTCTGTCTCATTACAACATTGCACAGAAGAAAACATGAGAGAAAAGCGAGTGCTTTGCTTACCATTTTTCCATGAGACTAGAAAGCATAGGAGAGCAAAGTGGAAATACATTGCATTAAAACACAAAGCTAGCAGCATTTCCTCAGCATGCAAGTTGCAAAATTGGCTATTCTTACCCAAATGTCCCTTATCCCATCTGCACACCATCTCTTTCCACTGCATGAGTGGATTAAACTAATGAGTCTCTGCTAAACTGAGAGCTGGGAGGTTTTCCTTCATGGCTGCAGACTAAGCCTCAAAACACCGGCAAAATTATGTTCCTTCAGTGTTCCAAGTGCTGATTTTGGTCACTCACGCTGCCTTTCCAGACTCCTCCACCCCATGAATCGTGGGAGCGGGAGCATCCAGATGGACCTTCCCTCCCTCTGTGGGCCAGAAAGCTGGGAGCAGCCTCCTCTCTCCTGACTCTGACCATCCCAGCCCCTTCAGCGCTGTTTCGCAAGGACAGAGGTCAAGGATTGCGCCCAGCCCCGCATTAATAAACATTTCCCAATGCTCTGTAAGGCTGCCCTGAAAGCTGAGCATTTATTTTCCAGCTTTTTTGCGAGCTCTGTTTCTATTTTAAAAGGCTAATGGGAACGTACTACCCAAGGACTTGCCAAAACAGCTCCAAAATGCTCTCCAGCAGAGCTAATCCCCGGTTCACCTACCTTCTTAATGTCCTTGTTGTTCATAGGGTCATCAGTCATCTTGTGGAAAAGTAGCTCAATAATTTCTTTCAGCTCATAATTGTATCCTTTCCTTTTGCAGACGATCACCACTTTATCAAATAAAAATAAATACCTGCCCAAAGCAAGCAAATAAACAAGCAACCCCGTCAAACATCTCATTAAGGTCCCCATGCGAGGGGGAGTATTTGGAAAGCTCTGCAGAGCTTCCCAGCCAGCTCTAATTTCACGTTGATAGAGATTTCTGTCAGTGCAACTCTAGGCAATCAGAAATAATGAATTAACGAATAAACGGAATAAACGAGCACGAGGGGAATTGCCAAAAAAAGGCACATTTAGTTTGGGGAAACCTTCAAGCACTGTTGCACACTCACCTGTCCTGCTTGGTGTGGTTGACGATGGAGCGGACCTTCAGCTCGCCATCAATCTTTGGCCTCCCAAACTCCTCCAGCTTCACTTGCTGCAGAAAGCAAAGCAGGGCTGAGATCCATGGTGCTGTGGAGACTCAAACCCAAACCTGCCCAAATCTCATGGTGTGATGGGGGCATCCCCACCAGACGCAGAAGCTCCTGGGGATAGCATCGCCCTCGCCAAGGGGAGCCCATGCACAGGAGCAGGACCAGAGACATCCCAGCACCAGCATCCCAGGGCAAGGCTCAGAAACCAAAGCATTTTTGCAAGGTTTGGGAAGCAGAGAGCAAACCTCCCACAAAATAAGCTGCATTTCCGGGGGGGGGTCTACAAAAACAGAACCAAGGGGGTATTAGTTTTGATTCCCATCCTGATTCCCATCCCAAGATGGGAGATTTTTGGAAGGCTGGAACCCACCCAATGGTTTGGTCAGTCTGTCTTTAAGCTCAAAAGCCCTTGGCAATGTTGCTTGGTGCAGCACAACCACTAAGCCATGGGAATCAGTGCCCTTGCGTGGTTCTTACAGGAATAAAAATACTGGGAAGCATCACTGCTGGTCAGGAAAATAAATAATTTTACACAGCTGCGTGTAGAGTCCATATTTATTTCATTGCTGTGCGATGCGGGCTCTGTATACAAAACACCAGCCACTCCATAACGTGCGTGGGATGGATCTGCAGTGACTGCTATGTCAACATCTCATCTCCCGTGTGTCAGCCCTGCTCTCTGCCTGCTGCAGGGAGGAGAAGTGGCTGCTTAATGCCTCCATTTTTACATCCCCATTTTTTACGGGATGTGATAGCTGACTGTTCACAGATTAGGATTATCGTGACAGCTTCAATTAAAACCCATGAGCTGCAATGGCCCGTATCCCACCGGAGAATTTTTGCAGGTATCTCTTGAAAATTAAGGACTTTATCTCCATCTGTTAAATAACCATCACTTATAAGTTCATTGTTTTCAAATGGAATCAAGGCGTAAAGCCTCCAAACGCAGGACCTCTCCAGGAAGCCCCTGGCATCTCCCTCCATCAGCCCCTATGAAACATCTCAGGTGTCAGCCCCCAAATTGCATTACCTCGGCATAAAGCGTGACAGCAGAGCAGCTGCGCCCGCAGCTGACCCCCCTTCCCCCCCCGCCCCCCGGCAAACGTGGGAAAAACCTTGTTAGCTTGAAGCTCTGCCACGGAATATTGAATTAATGGGTTTTTGCAGGGCTAGAGTGAGTGATGGGTTGCACAGGGTGGGAGGATGCACGGTAATGGGACCAAGTGTTTGATGCATCTGGAGTTTGGAGGATGAGATTCTCCTTAAAATATCTGGTTGAGATTCTTGGGATTTGTTATGTATTACAGGTCCTTCTCCTCCAAATGGGCCTTGGCATACTTTCAATTAGCCTCTGTCCTCAACAGCAAAAGAAAACCCACTTTAAATAGTAGATTGATAGCTGATTTGGGGAATTCTTGTGTGTATCCCCCACAGTAATAATTTGAAAAAAGCTTGGAGAAACATTTTCAGTGGAACACCACCAGAAGTCACCCTCCATCACAACCAAATCAGTTTTGTAATGTAGTAAAACCACTTCTGTGGTTTGCCGTCAGCAAAAGCACCGTCAGTGACCAGGGAGTGTCCAAACACACGGGCAACTTTCTTGGGCAGCACATCAGGGTCAGTAATAATTGCACAGAAAAGGAAGTGCATTCATAATAATCAAATTAAAGGAGGGAGTGAGAGGGTTTTCCAACTTACCAGATTTTCTATGGAGCTCTGAAATTCACTTATTTTCTTTAAAGTCTCTTTGTCCCTCTTTACTTCATTTATGTACATGGCCAAGTCCTTAAAAGAAAAGTGAATAATAATTTTTATTTTCCAAACGAAACTCATACCTTACCAAAGTGGAAAACACACGACCCTGGCTCGGCAAAGCCACTCTCCAGGAGTCACACCAGGATTCGAGCAGCA